TCGGGCGGATCATCACGGGCACGACGAACGCGCCCGCGGCGGGCGGGGCGGGAGCGGGAGCGGGCGGGGCGGGCGCGGCGGGGCGGGCGGCGGCGCCGCGCGCGCGGGCCGCTCGCACCGCCGTTTCGGTGCGGGCTCCTCGCCGCGCGCCGCGTTGGACGTGTCCGTGAAGGGCCGCCGGGCGCCGGGCGGCGGCCGACCGACGCGGGAGATCTCGCAGACGATGGTGGGCGGCAGACCGACGCCGTCGAGCCGGAGAAAGCGCTGCAGTCGAGCAACCGGATCCAGCTCGAGCTGCTCGTCCCACTCGCGCTCGAGCCGCGCGCGCTTGTCCCGCTCGAGCCGCGCGCGCTTGTCCCGCTCGGGCCGCGCGCGCTCGTCGCGCTCGTGCTCGCGCACCCGCCACTTGAGCTCCGCGCGCTCGAGCCGCTCGTCGCGCTCGCGCTCGCGCACCTCGCGCGCGAGCCGCGCGCGCTCGCGCCGCGCGTCCTCGCGCCGCCGCTCGAGCCGCTCGAGGCGCTCGCGCTCGCGCCGCGCGTCCTCGCGCCGCCGCTCGAGGCGCTCGCGATCGACCCAGAGCCCGGGCTGCCGCTCGCGCGTCGGGAACTCGACGCCGAGCTCCGCCGCCAGCGCCTGCGTCTCGAGCACGATCGCGGGCACGAAGGCCGCGAGCGCGCCCGCGACGTTGGCGAGCATCGGATCCAGGTGCGCCGGCGCCGGCGGCAGGCCGCGCGCGAAGGCCGCGCGCGCGTCGGACGCGAAGGCCGCGGCCGACGCGCCGAGCTCGGCCGCCGACGTGTGGCGCGGCGGCGCGCCCCGCGCCCAGGAGTCGATGGCGAAGGCGCCGTTCGCGCAGGCGAGGTCGAGGTCGCTGACGTCGACGCCCTTCTGGTTGCGCTCCAACGACGTCGCGAACCGGAGCTCCACGCCGCCCGCGATCGTGTCGGCGCCCGTGACGTAGACCTTGCCCTTGTTGATCCTGGACGTGATCTCGCTGAAGAAGGCGTCGTCGACCGCGTTCGTCGTCAGCGCGAGCGCGGGGCCGTAGAACTTGCCGCCCTGCGTCGGGCTCCGCAGCGACGGCAGGTCGAGGCCCGTGACGCTGTTGAACGCGACGGTCGCGAAGTCGAAGAGCCCGCCGAGCTTCGTGAGCTCGACCTTCTCCGACGGGGACGAGGAGCGCCAGATCTCGATGTCGGACTTCGTGTACTTGTAGTTCCGGCCGTCGAAGACGCCGGACGTCGGGTCCAGGAGGCGGATCTCCAGGTACTCGACGCGGTCTGCGAGCAGGTCCGCGACCATGCGCATGCGCTTGAGGACGAAGACGCGGTTCTGCTGGATGATGTGGATGCCGCAGGTGTAGGACGGCGAGCAGCGCAGCATGCGGAGCACGACGTCCTTGGGCGCGAAGTTGTAGTGCACGAAGCGGTCGACGATCTCGTCGTAGGCCTCGACGAGGGACATGAAGCGGAGCACGCCCTGCCAGCAGGACGGCTTGACGATGAAGCGCGAGTCCAGGCCCATGAGCACCGCGAAGTCCATGGCGAGGCTCACCTACGATTGTCCCGGATCATGCGCGCGCGCGCGGAGTCGGGCGTGCGCGGCCCGGA